ACACATTTTTAGAATATATATTATGATGTATATCATGTAAATGGAAATATTCATGTATATTCGAAGTGTTCAATACTATAGCTTTTTGCCGTGTGCTGTTGATGTGTGTTGTGTGTACGGGCGCGGGGGGTGGTTGTGCTGCAAGTACGTACACTCTGCGTTTAGTAGATGATAGAGCCAGAGTGAATGTTAGGGATTAATGGAGAGCAAGAGAAAAAAACGAAAGAGAAAGAGAGAGGAGGAAGAAATTAAGTATACTTCTTACCATGCTTTAAGCCTTTGAGTTTTATGTCAAATCCGAAATTAAATCTTCATTGGGGGAAGGGGGGGGGGAGGGGGGAGGGAGGGGGAGTTTAATGGTAATTTTTCTTACTCTATCTTCCTCTCTCTGTTTTTCATCGCTCTCTTCCTCCCCTTCAACACACTCTGTCCCTTCCCATTATCTCTCTCTCTGTCTCTTTCTCTCTGTCTCTGTCTCTTTCTCCTCTCTCTTGTCTCTTTCTTCTCTCTTCTCTCTGTCTCCCTCTGTCTATTCTCTCCTTCCCCCTTCCTCTTTGCTTTCTTCCTCCTTCCCCCTATCCCTCCCTCCCTCTCCCTCATCTACCTCCCCCCCTCCTCCCATCTCATTTACCTAACCTCCCTCCCTCTCTCTCCCTCTCTCGCATTCTCTCTTTCAATCTCCGTATATCAGTCAATCAGTCAATCTGTCAATCTTTTTTTTTCCTCCCTGATTACTCCCTTATCGACCTCCCTTCTCCCTTTCGCTTTCTTCTCCCTGGCGGCGATTTTAGGTTGATTAGAGTCAGTTTTCATAATCAACTGATTTGCACCGAGGAGCAGACTCACCTGTCAATCACTCTCTGCTCGCTCTCCCAGTCCCTGCTTCTGGGAGGGATTGGGGAGAGAGAGAGAGGGGGGGGGGAGGAGAGAGAGGGAGGGGGGAAGAGAGAGGAGGAGAGAGAGGGAGGAGGAGAGAGAGAGAGAGGAGGGGGAGCAGAGAGAGAGAGCGAGAGAGAGAAGAGAGAGAGAGAGAAGAGAGGAGAGAGAGACGAGAGAGAGAGAGAGAGAGAGAGAGAGAGAGAGAGAGAGAGAGAGGGAGGCCAGAGAGAGAGAGAGAGAGAGAGGAGAGAGAGAGGGAGCAGAGAGAGAGAGAGAGGAGAGAGGAGGGAGAGGAGAAGAGGGAGAGAGCAGAGAGAGAGAGAGAGAGAGAGAGAGAGAGAGAGAGAGGAGAGAGAGAGAGAGAGAGAGAGAGAGAGAGAGAGAGAGAGAGAGAGAGAGAAGAGAGAGAGAGAGAGATGAGAGAGAGAGAGAGAGAGAGAGAGAGAGAGAGAGGAGGGAGAAAGACACAAGTAAAAGAAAGACAAGAAAGAAAACAGAATAGAAAGAAAGAGGGAGATGGGAGAGGAGAGGGGAATGGAAGGAGAGGGAGAAGGGAGAGGCGAGAGGGAGAGGGAGAAAGGGCAAGGGAGAGGGAGAGGGAGAGGGGAGAGAGAGAGAGAAGAGAGAGAGAGAGAGAAGAGAGGAGAGGAGGAGAGGAGCAGAGAGAGACGAGAGAGAGAGACGAGAAAGTAGAAAAGAGAAGGAAAAGGAGAGAAGAGAAAGAGAGAGACGAGAGAGAGAGAGGAGAGAGAGAGAGCAGATGAGCAGAGAGAGACCAGAGTGAGAGGGAAGAGAGCTGAGGAGAGAGAGGAGAGAGAGAGAGATAGAGATAGAAATAGAGATAGAGATGTATATAGGATAGATAGTAAGAGAGAGAGAGAGAGAGTAGAGAGAGAGAGAGAGAGACGAGAGAGATGGAGAGAGAGAGACAAGAG